TTAAAAAAGAAGAAAACTATAGGCATATCTAGACTTTCAGAATTCAACCAACCAATAATCTCAAATATCTGGAAGATAACTCAGTATTAAAAATTAAGCAAAAAAGATGAAATGTTCAAAATGCATGTCACAAAGCCCAGCCCTGAAGTTTTGGGTACTTTGTCCCATCAAGAATGCCATTTATACCTTCTTTTACACATAACTTACTTCCAACAAACTTGGTTATCTGAGGTTGCAGAAAGCTGGGGTTGCAGATAAGATAACAGGGGAAAGTGATAGGTCTCCGCCTAACAGCAGGGAATAAAGGACAAAAAACATAAAACATGTTGGGATACATCTCTGTGGTAGAGCACATGTATAGCATCCAGGAGGCCCTGTCTTCAATCCCCAGCACTAAGAAAATAAATAAATAAAGCAGACATAGTCACAAAGCTATCCAGAGTCAACTGGACAGCATTCCTGAACAACTCCACACTTCTCTCTAAAATCTGAGAAAACAAACTACTCTGAATTAAAAAGTGTTCAGACAAAGTCCATTTTAATAATAGACTGGTTGGGGGGCTGGGGATGTGGCTTAAGCGGTAGCCCGCTCGCCTGGCATGCACACGGCGCTGGGTTCGGTCCTTAGCACCACATACAAATAAAGATGTTGTGTCTGCCGAAAACTAAAAAAAAAAAAAAAAAAAAAAAATTAATAAAAATAGACTGGTTGGTTGAAGAAGTAAGAAAAGTTCCTAATGCATTTTTAGAGAATTAGTTACAAATATTTCCAAGAAAAAGTTAAGGTGCTTAAAGAGAATCTTAGCTACCCAGAGTGACTTACTCCTGCAGGTTCCCCGTAGTTGGAGTTTTATTATATTGAAAAGGATTTTATGGTTGACTGTGTCGACCAGTACAAATCTGGAGAACAATCTGGAAGGAAATGATTAATGACTGCTTCTTTCCAAGGAAGTTTAAAAATAAGTAACCATAGGCATATCAGAATCAGTGTTAGCGCAGCGCTTGCTACTATATGCAGCCAAGTTGATACTATTTTGGCTCAAATCCATATTTCAAGTAGGATGTAGGTATTAGGTAAGCAGTTGGGATCTATCAGTTATCAAGGTAAAGTCAGCAGGAATATCTATTCCACTTCCTTCATACTTTCCTTCTGACTTCAAAACATAGGACTAGAAAGACCAGGAAGAAGAAACTGATTATGTTTATATCCATGGAACAAAGATTAGCAAGTTGGCAGTGTTCCACTGTTTTTGTTTGCAGGGTGGCTATCACAAAACAAAAACAAAAAGATAACTTCTACATCTGTAGCCTGATTATTTGAAAACAGACCTCAATATTTCCTCCTCTTTCAATAAAGCAGAAGATGTCTTTTATTTTGCTTATCTATAAGGTGCTTGTTTGCTGATATGGGACTAGTTCCTATTTCTATATGAGAGCTTGACAAAGTCTATCTGAAGATGCTGTTTCCTGAGTTGCTCTAGAAGTGCTCACTGCTTTGAAATTTGCCAAAAATCCAAGAGAGAATTCCCAGGGTTAAACAGAAAGACACAATTGCAAAGTGGCTAATCATTTTTAGCATTCTCACATCTCTGAATTCCTAGGTGTTTTTTGTTTGTTCCTTTTTTAAAAATTACCTTACTGGCTAAATACCTTACTGGTTGCTTTTTCCATGGATTGCAAAATTAATACATGGTCATTGTCACAATTCAAACAACATGAAGATGTATGAAATAAAAATTAATAAAAATCCACCCCCAAAACTCTCACTCTCCTCCTAAAGAAAACAATGAACAGCTTGAGATATATGTGTGTGTACACATATACATGCATATATACATATATATAGACGTATACATATGTATACATGTGTGTGTATTATATAGATAGATAGATAGATAGATACTTCTTCCTAGGCATATACAAACATACTATATGGGACTTCGGGGGTTTTTCCTAATATTTTTAAACATTTATTTATTTATTTATTTATTTATTATGTGGTGATGAAGATCGAACCAAGTGCCTCGCATGTGCTAGGCAAGTTCTCTACTACTGAGCTACAACCCCAGCCCCTTTTTTTCTAATTTAAATATAGAAACTTTGTTTGTTTGGTACTGGGATGGAACCCAGGAGCACTGTACAAATGAGCTACATCCCCAGTCCTTTTTATTTTTTATTTTGACATAAGGTCTTACTAAATTACTGAGAATCTCACTAAGTTACTGAGGCTGGCCTTGAATTTGCAATCCTTCTGCCTCAAACCCTAGAGCTGCTGGGATTTTAGGCCTGCACTATCACACCCAACTTCTTTGGTTTTTGCCTTTTGTTTTCAAACAAAAAATGGAATATTATATATACTACATGCATCTTGCTTTTTAGTCTTTAAAACATGCTATGGACATTATCTATAAACAAATAGGTAAATAAATCCACTGCATTATTTTTAATGGCTGTAAAGTATTCCAAAAGATACATGTCTCATAATTCATTCAACCATCACCCTGCCTTTCCCAACTCATGGATACTTGGGATAGACCCTTGAGCATATACTTTGTATCATCTAATTTCAGTAAGAGAATTCCTAGAAGTGTGGTTTCTAGGTCAAATGAGACATTGTCACGTGTTAAAAAATTTTTAAACAAAATTAATGTTAGACCTTCAGAATTTCTGTTCCCTTCTTAATTATACAAAATTTCGGTGTAAACCTTTTACAGGGCTTTACATATTTTATTTTTAAAAGCACACACATTATGTCAAAAAACGCCCCTGTCATTTATGCTTGTGTAGTTATAAATAAATAAATGCTTAAGTTATGGCTATGATGGCCAGTGTTAAATCATTGTGCAAATGCTTATGCCTTGGTTTATGAAAGTAGTAATTCATTGCGGAAACTCCACCCCCACAGCCATGTGCCCGCAGCAGAGCTGCAGCTCTCACATCCTGTGACTCCCGGCCACTGAGTGACTATACAACAATCAAGACCTACATATTTTCTAATCATCAATAGTTAACCTTAAAATGTGTATGGTGGGGGAAACAAGTAAACAACAACAGACATCAAATTAATGACCTTTTGGGGTTTCTTTTTTTTTTCTTTTTTTTTTAAAGAGAGAGAGAGAGAGAAAGAAAGAATTTTTTAATATTTATTTTTTAGTTCTCGGCGGACACAACATCTTTGTTTGTATGTGGTGCTGAGGATCGAACCTGGGCTGCATGCATGCCAGACAAGCACGCTACCGCTTGAGCCACATCCCCAGCCCCCTTTTGGGGTTTCTAGTATCCACAAATTATTTGTAACATAATGAATAATTCTGCTGGCCTGCACCACAGACTGTGTCCCAAAAAAACAAACAAACAAAAACACACACACACACACACACACAAAAAAAAAAAAAAAAAAAACCCTGTAACTAATATGTTGCTATTATTACAAAAACCTTTCAAAAACATGTTCTTCTAACATTTTTCAACAGAATCATTGATTGAATCTCATTGTATATTTTGCTCTTCTTCAGATTCAAGACTATAATTGAGAGCTTAAAAAAAACAGTCTTAAAGAAATACATGAACCAATGAAGTTCCTTAAAATTTAATCTCAGACTCCTCCATATAATCTAAAGACCTAAGCACCAACAGAGATTGTTAAAACACAGCAAGTTTGATACAGAAGTATGTGACATGCAATTAATCTCCATTCATACCCTGCTCTACTTGTCAGCAAACAAAGGTTCTGCTTTAGAAGGAGATCTGAAGACTTCAATTAAAAACAGTCAGCTAACAAGAAAATAATCTAAACTAAAGGAAGGTGGCAGGTGCAGAAATGAGTTGTTTACCAAAGTGTCAGTTTTGAACAATAAGGAACTTCACATCAAAAATGTTGAAGGAGTGGCTATCATTGCAAGCCTCTGAAAACATAAAGAAATTTTCTACCAAAGCTGCAAGTATTTTTCATGCCTTTATTTTATTTATTTTTAATGTAGTGCTGAGGATCGAACTCAGGGCCTTGCACATGCCAGGCAAGCACTCTACCGCTGAGCCACAACCCCAGCCCCTGAAGTATTATTTAACAAGCTTGTAAAATAGGTTTCTTCTCACTGAATGACAGATACCAATAAAAAGGATCACTTTATATCTTTAAAATGCAAGGGCAGAATTGAACTTCTTGCCACCATTCCTTCTCTCCTGAAAACCAAAAACAATTACAGCCTTCCTTTACAAGTCTAATACTGAACTAACAGCAGAGGGAACAGCTGGATTTCTTCTTCTCAGATACCCAGATGATGTTATTTTGCCCTACAAATAGTTTTCTACTCCTGAAGTTTAGAATTTACCCCAGTTACAAGCAAAATGGATGTTAGAAACCTCCCGTCAAAAGAAATACCTAGTTGACAGCTCTTACAGAGAAGCAATCCAGAATAGAAACAGTGCTTCAAACAGAAACCAAAAGGACTTGCCAAATATTTGATTAGGAGGCATTTATACTAAGATAACAAGATAATGGAGATATAAAACCAATTAAATTGAGAGAAACTGAGAAAAAAAAAAGTACAGTTTGCCAAAAGTATGACCTGCCCAAAGTAGGCCATCTGTTAAATATGTGTCAAGTGTATCACTGAGATGCCAAAAGGCTTAATTCTGAACAGTTTCCTCCTGGGACCCTTATGCAATTGCAGATTCCAGGCCTCTGTCCTCCCTAAAAGGTCAGTTACAGGAAAGCAAGAAAAAAATTACTTTCATTGTGTGAACCAAACAGATGATACTGCCCATCAGGGTGCATCTCTTTGGAGTGTTAGAAGTATGTGCTTACAGTATGGCTTTAACTCTTTAAAGGACTGCTTAGACATTATGGCTGAAGGTAACCCCATCACAGACACTTCTAGAAAAGAAAGGAATGTAACACTGAGTATGAGCCTGTCTTGGGTAGGACAATGACACCCCTATAAGTGGCAGGCTGGCAAAGGGAAGCCCTAGGTTTTGCACTGACAAACACCCACGTAACACCAGGCTTGGTCCACAGGAAGCATGAGCCCTTCACAGGCCCCTTGAAAGCCTCAGGGACCTCCATGCAGGAAGGTGCAGTTCTTCTGTGACAAGCAATGAGGTAAGGGCTGGGAAGGAAGGAGGAGGGCGAAACCCTACAAATGTTGGGGGAGTCCTGAGGAGAACGGGATAAGGTGAAAACCAGGCAAGGTCACAGGGGAGACCAGGAACCTGGCCTTCAGGAGCTTAGAGGCCTGGGAGGCCGAGTGGAGGGATGGAGACCTCCTGAGGAGAAAGAAAGTGTGGAACTCAAGGGAGCGACAGGGCCCCCCAGAAGTGGGCCAATGGAAAACAGACTTTGGGGGGTTAAGAAGGTTCTAGAAGGTGATGGAGTTGATAAGAAAGCCTGGCACTGGGCGGTACTGGTGTCTCCTTCCCTGTCTTCAGCCCAGCACTGGACCTCCAGAGGGGTCAGTCAGGGGACCTGGGGCTGAGCCAGGGCGTTACCTTCCAGGAGCCAACGGATCTCCTCAGGGAGGGCGGCGGCCTGCATTTGGCAGGGCGGGAAGGAGGCCTGCGGGAGGCGGGAGAGGGGCGTGGGGCCTGCTCGGACAGCGCCGGCTGGAGGGCGGCGGGCAGCGCTCAGAGGCACCTGTACTTCTGCGGCAGCTGCTGCTGCCGCGGGGCCCAGCCGCAGGGCGGGGCCGCGGGCCGGGCGCGCTCAGGAAGTGGCGCGCGCAGCGGGCCGGGGGGGCGCGGGTGCACGTGGCGCTCACACCGGGAACTCTAGATGGAAAGACCCGGGCGCCCGGGGCTCCGCACCACTCAGGGCCAAAGGTGTGCCGCTCCCGGTCCCCGCCAAAACAGAAGACTTTGACTCCAAGGAGCCGTGACTCTTGGAGACGCCAGCCTAAGTACTGAGCAGTTGGTCTCCAGGTGGCAGGTTTAAAAGGCCACCGTAGTGCCTGAAATGGGGAAGGAGAATCCAAGAATGAGATTAATCCCCACCAAGCATAGCGCCCCTCCGTTGCCGATCCGGTTCTCGTGGTCATGCCCAGAAAAGAGCGCAGGACGTTCTCTGTCTCAAGGAAACCATGATGTTTAAAGGGAATGATCCAAAGTCCCAAAAAATAATAGAGGACACCAGCAGTTGGGAGGGTAGGAGCGGCAAGGCAGCAATGGACACAGAGAGCCAGAGTGTCCTTTTCTCCCTGAAGCTGAAAGGCAATGAGGAAAAAAAGGGGCAACCTGAGGAGCAACTGAGGGAGTGGGAAACAGAGCCCTTTCCCTCTGAGAGCTGAACAAGGGAGAAAGTGAAGGACAAGATCACAGAGACGTGCCTTTTCCCTCTCAAAATGCAGTCAAAGTCCATGTCCCTGTTGTGGTAGATACTGAAGATACTATCACTGTGGGAACTTGGGTACAGGTACACAGGATTCCTCAGGGTTACTTCTTACCATTGTCTGTGAAGCTACAATTATCTCAGAATAGTTATTTAAAAAGAAAGTACCATAGACCAAAAGAGTGACATGAGTGATTAAAGAAAACAAATGACTACATGGAAAAGATGGAAGTGGCAGTCTCTCCGTGTATGTGCTTACTTTACAGTTTGGGTAGCATTTGAGATGGATGCTGAACACCATGCCAAGACTTTAAAGAGTTGGGAGGACTTTCCAGGTGGAAGGACCAAAGTAAACAAAAATGGAAAAGTACTCTCCTGTAGAGGAACAGTGAGTAGACCTTCTTTACTGAATAGTGTAGAGAAACTACAGTTGTCAAAATTAATTTAATCTATTATAAAGAGACTTCGGCCCCATGCAGTGGCACCCACCTGTAATCCCAGCTATTTGGAAGGCTGAGGCAGGAGGGAAACTGAGGCAGAATCGTCACAGATTTCAGGCAAGAGCCTGTCTCAGAATTTTAAAAGAAATTAAAAAGGAGGACTGGGGATGCAGTTCAGTTGTAGAACACCCCTGTGTTCAATCCCAGGACCAAAATAAATAAATGAAGGAACTTGGATGTCTGAATGGGGGTTTTTAAACTGAGTGGATATGGGGAGTCCTTGACGATTTTTAAGCTGGAGAGACCTAACATGGGCTCTCTTCACCTCTACCACCCCCACCCCCCACCCCCCACCATCAAGGTGTTTCTATTCTCCAACTTGACCTAAGAATATGTAGGAAGAATTGGAAGCAGTAAAAGGGGACATAAGAGAAATGTCTGAAGTAATTTTTACAACAGCCTCTGTGGAAATAATGACAGGCTGAACCTGGAAGATGGGGAGAAAGCGGAAAGAAGAAACTGTCCAGAAGGATGCATGGTAGAAGCACCTGCCTCTTGGAATAGATTCCCTCTCCAGAGATACAGCCCCAAGGTCGAGGGTTTCACCTTTTAATGGGAGCAGTGACTTTGATCACATCCTGCCATCTGAAAAAGAATGATGCCTTGGTTTTGGGATTTCATGACCCTCCTACAAGTTGCAACAAATTGAGCTGAAGGGTCAGAGCAGCCATAAGTTTCCGGGAATCTGGCTCCTTCTGGCTCATCCTCCTTGTCCTGAGAAAGCAAAGCATTGGGTAGGTTATCTCCTCCAGGCTCCAAGCAAGTACCAGGTACCCCATGGGGCATTTTACCAACCTCACAACTCCCTTATAAAATTGTAGCTGCCCTGGTATCATTTTGGAGTACTTATGATATATGTTTAAAAGTAAAGGAGTGTAGATCAAAACTCTCTGTACTATTGTTGCAATTTTTGTGGATCTAAAACTGTTAGAAAGAAAAAGCAGCAAGGGAAACAAAGTCTCCCCTATATATCATCCAAACTGCTTTGCTTTCCCTTTCAGCAATGAGAAAAAAAAATGACAACCTCCTCCTTTTCTTCAAGGACATTGTGTCATATACTCATTTAGGCTTGAAGCTAATGAGTTATTTGATAAAGGACAAAACTCCAGACTTCACAGAGATTACTCATACCTTGGAACATGGCAGAAACTCATGAGGTAGTTATTCCACAGCCATGCTTCCCCACAGGAATCTCTGGGTTTTATAGGGATTAGGGTAGAGGGAGGTGCAAGTTGGGTAGTGTGTGCTAGTGACTGGCAGATTCCAATACCATATTGTCATGTTGCATCAAGGTTCCTTACTGCAGACAGAAACCTGCCTGCACACATGAGTGCAGCCCCTCCTTAATCATCTGAGGACCCTGGTTCAGCAGTCAGCCTCACTCCTAATGACATTCTGTTAAATGGACAAATTCCTTTGAAGCCTTGTCCTTCTTTGAAATCCAATTTCGCAAGAAGCCAAATCTGATTGGGGGTAGCCATGGAAACCACACTGAGGAGTCTTAGAGGAGGTGGAGAGAGGCAAAGACAAAACGTGATAGTCAAGAGTCCTTTACTGCTCTGTCGGAAATATCAAAGAGATCTGGAGAGGTTGGCAGCAGACGAGTCCCTGCCTGGGTCCTGTTCTGTGTGGCTGGATACCATGTGGCTGTCATGCAAGAAAGCAGCCAGCTGTCAGCACACAGGCAGGGGGATGGAGCAGAATACACAAATCCCAGGTCTGTCTGCCTCCTTCCTCTCCCCCTCCCCCCAACCCCAATTCCAGCAAGATCTTAGTATCCCTTCTTAGCTGCCCACCCCTTAAAGGCAAACAACAGAAGAATGACAAGGTTAAAATACAAGGCCCTCACAGATAAGAGGTCCTTGGGAGCAGAGGCCATGAAATTAATCTGAAATTCCTTGTAATTAGATAAGATAAGTGTATCTAAAGAGAGCCAGGAATGGAGTCCAACAGCACAACATGCAGAAAATGTACCACCTTGTCCACTGGGACACCTCACACACTGTCAGCAAACAGGAGATGCAGAAAATAGGGCCCATGTCGGTCTCTGGGCTGCTTGGAGATGCTGTCTACATGTTCTGATGCCAGGTGGGCACTCACTAAATATGCATCCAAGGGGTGTCCAGAGGGCTCAATCAAGAAGAAACAGAAGCATCTGGCACCCAGAATGGCATGGGGTGGGAACAACTGCAAGCAAAGCAGGAGCCGGCTGGCACTGTTCCACCCTGGGTGCAGTGGGTCTGGAGAGGAGGCTGAGGAGGGCAGGCTCTGAGGCTTTATCCTGAGCAGGTTATTGATCCCTGGATGCTGGGTCACGACATGTGGCAGAGCTCATGTCTGCCCTATGGATGTGTGGCTGCTGCATCTCAGCCTCTCGGTCCCAACCCCATCAACCGGGTTTATTGACTCTTTTATTGACAATGCTGGAGCCTAATGAGGACAAGAACTGCACACTTCATTAAGGGATGTGAAAGGAGAGATGATGCATCCAGTCAGTGCCAAGAAATGGGCTCACTGTGTCCTTTGTGAGGCCCCAGAAACTAGGCTTCATCCCACCACAGAGGCAGAGAAAATGGACATAAGATGCTAACTTAGGTGCATCACTTTGGTGGCCTTAAAATGCAGGATTTCCATGGCCTGCCAGAAGACTTGCTCTCACTAATTAGCCAACCCTTTGACTTAGCAGGGTCCTATTCTGTGTGCACTCCCATAAATGTACCTTTAATGATCTCCCCTTCTGGTTCACACTTCTAGATTCTTTGCCATAATGAACACAACAAGATAAACAGGTTCTCACATCATATAAGACAACATGCCCATAAGCAGTTTCTCCATGAAGCATAGGCTGGAAACACATGAGGAATAATTAAAACTCAAAAGAATCTTCAAAGAGGTCAAATTCAAGATGAGGAACAGACTCTTATGCTCTGCCCGGGGTCCCCAGCCAGGAGCTTTGCTGGCATTAGAATCCTGGTGCTGGTTTAAAACTCTTGTAGAGTTGAACAATACCCAAAATAGTTAGTTATAGTTAAGGATCACTGAACCGTTCTGTAAAGTAGTCACTGTTCCCTCCAAATAGTAACCTTCCTTTCTTTGTTCTTTATCTTATCTTTCTATCATTCCCTTTATTATTTTCCCCTATCTCCCCCAGCCCCCCTCCTTTTGGTATCATCTTTACCTATCCCTGAGACCACATTAGACATCCCCCTTGGGCACTGCTGAGCCCAGCAGAGGCCCTGAAGACCAAAGAGGTTGCTGACTCTGACATTTTCTGTCTTTGATTGGTTCTCTTGGGAATCTGAAGGGGGTGGGGGGACTCAGAATGTGTCAGCCGTAGCCAGATGAGGCTGTGCACTCTCTGAGTGAGATGTGGAGGCAGTCTATGTGCTTAATCTGCACAAGAGGCAGATGGGGCCAAGGCCAATTTTGTAGGCTGGATATTTGCAAGCATGGTAACTTTGAAAAACTAGACGAAGCTGTATCTATTGGGGGGGGGGGTGGTTAAGGAGACAGAAAGTAAATAATAGAAGAACAGCAATTTTCTGAAGTTGAATTGAGTTTCTTTGGTTTTCTTTCATCCGTTATTTCAAAAGATATTTTTAAGTTAAAGCTTCCCTAAACTCCCTTCCTTTTTTTCCTGCCACACTTCTTTCTCCTTCACTTTATCACAGGTCTTTGAATTCAAGATTGGAATGGCAGAATTCAAGGTGAGAGAAGGGGCAGTTATTTAGAATCTGGTAGAAAGCTCTGACCTGCACTGGGCACTTAGACATGTGCTCACACTAAGAGAAACTGATATTATCTGACCAGAATCGTGATATTCACAAATACAAACAGAAGCCCTATGTGGAGTCAGAGATGAAATAAGAAAGGACTGATTATTTCCATGCCAGAAAGTGGGTAAAAATACCATTGCCCTAGTGAACATCCTGCAGAACAACCTTGAAGTCTTCAAAAGTATTCTTTCCTTGACTTCAGAATTGTGTCAGTGTCCCTTTTATTTTGTTGTGTTTTCTTTCTAAATATCTATTCTTACAAGTCCTTGGGCTTTCCTAGAAATATTTTCTGCCAGTGTAAACTTCCCTCTCTTTCTTATACAAGACAGCACTCCTAGTGTGTATTGTCTTGCTTTTCAGATTTCACCTTTACTTTTCTTCTCTTTCTCTCATTCCTCCACCAGCACTCATGATCCCACCCTCTTCCACTACCTTCTAGATCTTCAGTCTCACGTTCTCTCTCATCTTCAGTCATCCTAGTCTCCTTTATCCTAAAAGAACAAAATGAAAACTATTCCATCTACCCCATGACCTTCTCCAACTCTCATCTTTTCTTCTCTTTCCTGTCGCCATCAACTTCCTCCACCAAAGCTCTCGTTCCCTCCTTCTCAGTCCAATAGCCCTGCCTACCAGCCATCACGCCACTGAGTGACTTTAGAGCATCTACAACCTTCTCATCTCTCTTCTCAGTCTTCACCAAGCCCCTTTCTGCAGCATTGGATGCTACTGGCCCCTGCTCTTGCTGTAAGCATCCAGCCTCCTGAGCACCACCCTATCCTGGTCTTCTTCACAATCTTCTTATTTCCTTGCCTCTTTCTTTGATTCTTTTCCTTTCAACTTTTAGTCATGGGTATTTGACAGAGTTTTATATTTTTCTTCCTCCTCTCCGTCTCCTTTCATTTCTGTCTCTGTCTCTGTGTTCCTCCTCCAGCTCTACAACTGCCTTTTCTAATTTGTACCTCTGCCCCACAATCCTACCTGGACATCTGAACTATTTTGTTGCTAACTCTACTTTTAATTCTTGAAATAGCAACAAAGATCCAGATTTCCTCCCTGCCCTATCTATTCTAGAACATGACTGGTATTCTCCAACCTCCTGGGGAAAACACTGATCCAGAAAACATAATATTAACTCCTTTTTTTCACTCATTGTGGCAGAAACCAAGTTTACACTGTCAATACAGAACCTGAAAAGAACCCATCAGAAAACAGATTATGCCCAGGAGTCAGTAGCCTCCTTAGTCTGGAGGGCTGCCTGCAGGACTAAGCACTACAAAAAGGTAGAGGGGGTAGGGGGAGACTGACAAGGAAGGATGGTAGCTCAAGGATAAAGCTCATGAGAAAGGAAAAAAAATAAAGAGAGTGAGAAGTCAGAAGATAAATGATTAAATGGACAAAAGAAAGAAAACATAAAACAGGTGCAGTGGTGCACACATGTAATCCCAGTGGTTTAAGAGGTTGAGGCAGGAGGATCATGAGTTCAAACCCAGACTCAGCAACTTAGTGAGGTTCTAAGCAACCTAGGGAGAGCCTGTCTCTGAATAAAATATAAAAGAAGTAGGGATGTGGCTCAGTGGTTAAGCACCCCTGAGTTCAATCCCCAGTAACCCCCCCCCCAAAAAAAAAAGAAAGAAAGAAAAAATAAGAGCTCCTCATATTTTAGAGAATTAGAAATGAAATCAAATAGATCCACTTTATTTCCTGAGTTGTAATTTCAAGATATACCATGTTGCATCCCCAAGGACATTGAGAAGCTTCAGGGAGTGACTGTAAATTCCTAAAGAAAAGTGTCTTGTGAGGATTAAAGCCATTCTGATCTGCTGCTGTACTTTTTAGCATACACACAATCAACACAATGACATGTCTTATTGAGTAATATGTAATATTCCGCATCATGAGACTATTGATGCAGAATTTCCTTTTTCAGAGCTCAATATTCCAATCAAAGCCTGTTGCATCACGTCATTGAGGCCATCTACTTAATGACAAGTTGTAAGATGCATATTGCAGAATGTTCGTGTTCATTTTATGCTCACAGTGCTTAAAATCTCCTCTAAACAGCTTCTGCTTCCGGCCTATTAAG